TAGACCTTATAGACTGTGTTTGGAAAAATATCCAAAATGTAGTCTTTACATGAAAATAAAATGCACTGAAGTTCTTGAACAAGAAGAGAAGCTGCTATTTTTACATGTGAAATTGGAAATTTCCAAAGGCAAATCAATATCTGTAACTAATGCTAACTACTTTCTTGTGAAGTGAATAATAAATTCACTATTAGTATTAGCAAATTCAGTATTAGACTCCTGAACAGCCTTTACCCAACTGTTAACTGATTGAATATTTCACATAATACAAACCACTACCAACAAACACACCTTGAAGGGTGAAAAATGCTTGCTTTCAAGCAGGTTTTCCAAACATGTCCCCTTTCTAGCATTAAAGTCAAACTGAAGTGCCTTGAAATGCATTTACATTTAGTCATTTAGCAGACGCTTTTATCCAAAGCGACTTAGAAATGAGGACAATGGAAGCAATCAAAATCAACAAAAGAGCAACAATACGCAAGTGCTATGACAAGTCTCAGTTAGCCTAAAGCAGCACATGTAGCAAGGTCTTTTTTTTTTTTATTATATAATAAATATAAAGAAAACAGATATAATAGAAAAAGAATAGAGCAGGCTAGTGTTAGAGTTTTGCTTTTTGTTAATTGTATAATAAATAAAAAGAAAACAAATAGATAGAATACAAAAAGAATAGAGAAGCTAGTGTTAGTTTAAAAAAAAAAAGAAAACAAGCAGTTAGTAAATGAATAGAGTGCAAGTCTAAAAGGGCCAAGTATTTATTTTTATTTTTTAAAAGAATAGAATTAGAATAGAGAGTGCTAGAGTTAGAGGGTCAAATAAAGATGCACACAGTTATTCAACATGTTAACAACATTTCACCTGAAACAGGAAGTCAGGGCAGAATATATCGAGTGGGTAATTTTTTTTAAATAGCGTTTTACAAAAGCGTTTTACGTTTTCATTAACGTGTCAGCCTGTCAAAGCCGCATTTTTATTTAGCTGAATTCGATCAGTCTAATAGTCTCCACCTTTAGATTTGAAACTGTTACAACAGAAAAAATAAATAAACAGAGATCATTTTTAGAAAAGCTGATGATTTGTAATTTAAAAGTGTATTTTAGTGCATTTAAAAATACAGTGCTGTTTATAAAGCACTAACCTTTTAGACTAACAAAAGTCTAATCTTTTGCATTTTTTATCTCCTTCATTGCATTCTGTGTAAAATTCAGGTGGGTCGGATATGTTTTGTGGTCTGCGCCAACTCGTGCATATGATCCACTCTGCGGAGGTTTGCTTGACATTGACACGAAACCAGACTTCATTCACCCCAAAGCATGTTTAAACTATTTGAATCGCTCCCTATCCCTTACATAGTGCACTATTTGCCATACAGAACATGGTAAATGCATGAACAAGCGACTGATTTCAGCCTCAGTTTCAGCAGCTTTTATGGGGGTGGGACGCTTCAGATTCTAGAAAGCATTTGATTGGACAGAAATTTTAAAATCACTGATCTGTAGAGAGAAACTAAATTTGGAATGCATTTATCTTTTAAATGCAAATTAAGGCTAACATGTTCATATTAACAGCCAAAAAACTTCACTTTTGACTTTAAAGATCTAGATCTAACAGATGTTTTGATAGCATCACAGAATCACATTATTTATCAACCAATGAATGATACATCTTTTACATATTAAACTGGAGAAAATATTCTCCATTATCCAAAATATTACATATTATTGGAGAAAGCATTTAAACAGAATATTTAAAATATCAATTTCATGACAAACTCTCTGGCGCTCTTTAAAATGCAACAGTCTAACTGCTCTGCTCTGAAGTTAGTTTGCTGCCAGCAAATGGGCTGAACATTTATAGCCTCTGGACAATAAAATACATCAATCACCAGCTTCTGTACTGAGATCTCTCGAGTCAAGAGTCAGGACTCTTGAGCCCTCTTGTCTAGGTTTCCTGAGCTCCTTCCTGCTTTTGTCCAATTCTACTTTCACTCCAGTCATGTGATGTGCACCATGAAGCGTAATTCCCATGTTTTTAAGCGCTAATACATCAATTAGCTAGCTTTAATATAAAGTCATTAAATGACTGATGCAGAGAAATATAGAGCCAAGTGGTTTTTAAACACTTTGTTTGACAGTGGCTACTTTAGCATTGCGCTCCCCCTGTTGTTTCAGTGTTTGCCTAAAGCTCTTAAACTAAGAAAGTCTGCATGTCTACGTGATGGATGGCTGTGGGGGGAACTCTCCCCTGTAAAATCTGTGCTAAATTACCACTGGCTTCAAATGCACATCAGCGTGCTTGGCTAATAAATACTGCGCTCACTGTTTGCAAAGATATCAGCAATAGAGTTGTGTTATTATGCCGCTGTGGCAAGGCGCTAGACCTGTATGTGCTACAATTTGCAAAAAGGATACAAGATATCAGACCTTTTATAAACATTTCTACCATCTGCCAGATGGATTTGTGTGCACAGAGCAGAGATGTTTGTTCATTTGAGCCCACCAACCTATACAAAATTCAAAAAGATTCATGAAAACGTTTGAGGTAACAAATTTTGCATGTACATAACAGCAAACAAGGTGTCAGAATGTTTGTTCCAGACTTTTCTAGAACGATGCAACTGCTGAATGGTGCGCAATATTGGTTGCTGCATGAACTGACTGCTGTCAATTAGTCAATTATTGATTCCAATAACAATTTGTTTTGGAAACCTTGATGAGTGATAAATTTAATTAAATTAAATTAAACTTTAACACTAATTTTAAACATTTTAGTAAAATCTTTATTCTTTTAAATCTGTATACTTTTTCTCTTTGCTCCTTTTGAGTTCCATATTGCAACAGTTTCCAGAAGCAAATCACATTCGTCAACTAAACTCATTGTTACCCTCACAATGAAATATCTTATCAAGATCAATCACTCATGTAGATTTAATCTTAGCAAATGCCCTTTTACGCCAAAGTGAGGTTGTGAAGATTAAAATGATATATTGGCACATGTTTATTATGGGCTGTTTGGTAAGTGGTGTTTCAGAGTGGAAGTCTTCAGGGTTTGGGCCGCTGCTTATGCATTATTCATGATGTTGTTCCATTGCATCTCTGCAATACAGCCCAGGTCTCCTTAAAGTTACAACACCTCCATCAAACACATGAGCAGAAGCTCACATGCCAGAACTGCGACAGTGCACTTCATTAGTTTATTTAATGCTGCATGTTTTTCAAGGGAAATTTTTCAAAAGTTCACAAATGGGTATGACAGATTGTGATAACGATAAATACTGCAATTATTTATCTTGCTTTTTGACAGGCGAGTGGAATTCGGAGATGGTTTGAGGAGACAGAAGTTGCAAGAGGAGACCCAAGGGGAATTTGTGGGCAGACTTGCATTGCAACCAGCAGATCTTTGAAGAAAACTATTTTCCATTTGGATCAGGATTACAGACACATCTGTGTATCACAGCACAAATATTTACAGCTATTATTTACAGCCGTTTTACTGTATTATTTTAAAAGTACAATAAAAAGGGTAAGGGGTGTTTCAAGCACATACAGGCCATGTTTTGTTGTCATTAAACTGATTTTACTGTTAAAAAAAGAAGAAAAAAAGCAAGCAGGCAATTACATTTCATCCAGCATATAGGTTTTCTGAGTCACAGATACTAGGAAATGAGAATGACTTTGAATCTACATAAAAGCACATGTTAGACCAACAATATTCCCTCAACTACAGAGTTGTTTGAATAAACTTAATATCGAACAATACTGCTGATTTACTAAGTGTACATGCGAGTCCCCAGCATGCACTGCAGAATAAATAAATGCTGTGTTTACTATTATAGGATTATTGTTTTACTGTGTTCGGAATTTATTTATGATGTGTTGGTTGTCACTGTTCTTTTGTGTGGTGATGCTAAAATCTTATTATGCTTGTTTGTTTTCACCGTTACTAAGGTCTGTGTGCGTCTATATAAAACTGATCTGTCCTTCAGATTGCAAAGTTCCCTTGAGGTTAAATGCTTGATGAAGATGAAAATATTTTGTGTTGCTAAAATTTGGTGAATAAGAAATATATTGTTGACTTAATTAATCGGCTAAATGTGAATGTGAACAACAAATTCAAATTGACAAAAGTCATATTCCATCATGTTACATTGAATTTTCAGCTTTTGACAACAATATATTTTTTATATTATTAGTAGCCTAATTATTAAGATCATCTTTTTGGTGTGGATGACAACAGGCAGATGTTGACGTTTTGAATGCATCTAAAATACTAAAATCAAGTAATGCTTTTCAGTCCAATGCAGACATCGCTTTTGCAGAAAGTTTGTGGGACTATTCATTTTCTCTTTCATAGCAAATCAAATGCTTCTGTTTACCATAAAGTGCTTTTGGCATCTTTCACACGTTTAACTCATTTCCTTTACCCTTTAAATTTTCAGTCAGGTTATTAGTAGAAACGCTTGTATATTTTTTATTGTTGAAGTTAATTTTTAAATCTTTATTTAAAACAGTTGTGTTGCTCTGCGCTTGTGCGCTGTTCATTAACTCACTGACTCCACGTGGATTTTAATTAGTGATCAAAGTGGATGCTTATGTTGCTTCTGTACACAGTGCCTAAATGATGTGAATTCATAAAAAATCTTAAATATGTCTCTAAATGTGCATTATGTTCTGAAAATGTATATAAAAACGCACATCTGTTTTCTCGTAGTTGGAAATCATTCCATGGAAGTGCACTGGAATTTTTAGGAATCACTGTCCCGAATAGATCTACTTAAGTAATCCGAGCAATATGATGCACTCAGCATTATCACAATGCACAGTACACTTGTGCATCTATGTAACTTGCAGTGCTCACAACGTCACACAGATATAGTTTGATCACTTAAGCTCACGCTCTCAGTTTTGTCCAATTAGGATCATTTTGCAAATGCACTGGCCAACATAACTTTTCCCAAACTACAGCTGTCACTGTCTCATGTGGAGCAATGCCAAACTCACCTCTGTCCGGGACTGGAGTCGTTTGTTCATCTCATAGATTCTGTACTCGGGCTGCACCATGTACGGTGAATGTCTCCGGTAGAACGGTCCGAAAGGGGACGAGTAGAACGGGTCGTGCGGAGGGTTGGACATGTTGATTCCGTGTCGCGTTTACAGCAGCGCCAAAGCTTCAGCATCCATACAGCGCGCCTGCAAGATCTCCAAACGCCGCGAGACAGCAGCACTCACTGGCTGCACGCGGAGCGGAGAGATGAGAGCTCGCGGAGGAGGCGGGAGAAGAGAGCAGGGGGAGGAGGGCTGGGCTCTCATTGGATAGCCGCAGGCTGCACTGGAACATTGTTGAGGGTGAGCCAAGCAAGTCTTACCATCCAACCAAAACCGACTGGCCTTTATGTTAATGTTTGTGTTCGGTAACTTTCAAATTAGCGTGGCAGCGTTGTACATAACCGGGGCTAGTTGTCACATGGGGAGTAACTAAAATGTTGTTTTCTTAGCAGTGTTGGTTTTAAGCATTTTGTTCAAAGCTATATTCAATTAGAACAGAATTTGTGAATTATGTCTGTCAGATTAAATTTACAGTCATATTCTACTAGGTAGGCCTAATCTTTCTGTTGCTCAAACAGTAGAGCACACCTATAGCAACGGCAAGGTTCTGGGTTCGAATCCCAGGGAAAGCAAGAAATGCACAAATACATTAAATGCAATGCAAGTTGTTTTGGATAAAAGTATTTGCCAAATGCGTAAATGTAAAATGGTAGCCGCAGGCTGCACTGGAACATTGTTGAGGGTGAGCCAAGCAAGTCTTACCATCCAACCAAAACCGACTGGCCTTTATGTTAATGTTTGTGTTCGGTAACTTTCAAATTAGCGTGGCAGCGTTGTACATAACCGGGGCTAGTTGTCACATGGGGAGTAACTAAAATGTTGTTTTCTTAGCAGTGTTGGTTTTAAGCATTTTGTTCAAAGCTATATTCAATTAGAACAGAATTTGTGAATTATGTCTGTCAGATTAAATTTACAGTCATATTCTACTAGGTAGGCCTAATCTTTCTGTTGCTCAAACAGTAGAGCACACCTATAGCAACGGCAAGGTTCTGGGTTCGAATCCCAGGGAAAGCAAGAAATGCACAAATACATTAAATGCAATGCAAGTTGTTTTGGATAAAAGTATTTGCCAAATGCGTAAATGTAAAATGGTAAAAAAAAAAAATTTTTTTTTAAAGTAAATACAATAAAACCACAATGGTATACTTTAAGGTCAAGTTCAGTATTATCAAGTTTAAGACAATTTACGCAGCAAATGCTAGGCTGGGGCAAATTGTCACATGCTTTTAGTGCAGTGTTTCAGATCAAGCATATGGTTCTCATTGTGACAACTTTCCCCATATTCTGTGACAACATGCCACATGAATGTAAGTTACATATATGAACAGTATCTGTCTTTCCTGGGTAATAATGGTGGACATATATACCATAACATCATAACATCAATAGTTTTAGACTTTATGCCAGTGTCAGAAAGTAATGGGGGCTCTGAGCAAAAATGCAACTGTAATTCAAAATGTGGGGGCAAAATATAACCACATTAAATTGTTTATTAATTTGAAACATATCTTAAAATTCTAGGGCTAGTTCAATTTACTATTTTTTATATTTTATATATTTATTTTAAAGAATTCAAGTATTCAAAAGGATTCTACATGTTTTTATGTGGTAAAAATCTAATGAAAACGTGCAACTCATAATCTCAATACAGATTTAAAAGAATTTACAGAGACAGAAGGTGAAATAAACTAAATAAGTCCACTAAAACGTTATAATGTCTGCAGATATAAAGTACAGAATATGATGTAATGCTTGGGTGCATGTTGACTCACCATGAATAAGACTGACAAATGCAGATCATATACTCAAAAACACTTTTAATCCCACATTGTAAAGGTTTGGCTTTTATATGTTTCATCTGTACATAAATGTACAGATTGTGATTGTGTTCTTGTTAATACGGCACAGCATCCTATGATCCTAATACATTATAGTTCCAAAAATAACGTCTATAATTTAAAACTAAAATAATATAGCAATGTTATAGCACCACACTGCCATATATCAGAATAATGGCCACACCTGAGGCTTCTCTGGTTTAGCTGCATCAGTTGTAAATAGATACAGTGCTGTACAAATGTGCTTGAAAACTGAAAAGAAGGTTGCTGGAGTTATTCAGGATTGAACAATGATTCTGATGATGTCTATTTCTTTTTATGCTAATTTGTTAATCTAATGCTGATGTCGATACATACCTTTGCATACTGAGCGGTGGAAGCCTTTTCAAAGCCAAAATGCTCTCCGAAATCCATTTCCTCAATTTATGCTAATTAACCATAATAAGATATTTTTTATTCCTATGTCGAATGTTCTGTTGAAGTATTTGAGGCTCAACCATCTTAGACAAATGAAAGTTCAACTCCAAACACTCCAGGCACAGAGATAGGTAATTATGAAAGTTGGGGCGAAAATCTGTTAATAAAACTCTTAATTAAAAATTACATTATTTAATATCTCAAAAGTTTCCATTCAACATTTCAGAAGGAATGGGCTTGTTTGCCCAAAGCACTTTTTTTTGCAAAAGCTATGCAGCTTTTAAAAAAAAAAAAAAAAAAACTTTTAATTTGGGGTGTAAGAAGAGAGCGAGCTGGAATTGGAGTGTTTTTTTTAATTAGAAGTAGAGCCCGAGCGTGGAGTTAGTGGTGTTGAGGGAGATATATGTGGTAAGGTGAAAGAGGAAGAGCACTTCTGGGGGAAATCGAAATGGGTCAGGACACATATAGACGATCCTTCGCCCCACTGTTACTATGGTAACGTACCATGGTGCGTGGCGGATGCCACCTTCTCGGCAGGTTTGAACCCAAACACACACACATACATAAACACCGCTTTTACCTGCAGAAATCTCCTTGTTGGGTTTATTGTTTTGAAAATGTATGTTTATCTACCATTACAGGCTTGATTTATTTTCTGGGGCATAGATACGGTAAAATAGGCATCCTAAAATCATGGACTTGGGGCCCTAAAAATTAATTTTATATGATTTTTTTGTTTGTTTGTTTTTCATTGTGGTTAATGATCATGGTTTTGAGGTCCATGATTTTACTAGTTTTAACTTTGCTGAATGTAAAAATCCACATAATTAGCAATCAAACATCCATTTTGTTTTCCCCCCAATGCTCCAAAACACCTAATAGTAGTTTATGACAAACAACAGCATCATCAAGCCTGTAAGATCAATTTACTGTAAAAATCTCCATCAACACAAACAAACTTAGTGAAATTAATAATGAATAATGGTGTGATCTTGTTGATGAGTAATACTTTACTCAATACACAAATCTTCACTGCAGGACACAGGGATAAATGCAAGAACAGAGGCACTGAACATTGTGATTTTGACCTAGGACACGCACACGCACACACACACACACACACACACACACACACACACACACACACGC